GATGTGTATAAGAGACAGATATATATGTATATACGTATGTATATATATGTATGTATAATTAGATTACAATCAGTAGAAGCAACCATATCATTAATATACATAAAGAAGAGAACAAGTATAAAATATTATTTACACGAACCTTTTGCAACGATAGGATTTAAACCGTTTTAAAGATGTTATTGTGTATATATTCATGTATTTTTAAGCAGCACAACGTACAGACTAAATCTTTGATTATGCCACTCACAAGAGGAGTCACGGATAGCCATCGTTTACTGAAGGACAGGTACAAATTAGACAAGAAGCTTGGCAGTGGCAGTTTTGGTACAGCATTTCTTGTGATACGAACGCAGATGAAGAATTGTGAGTCCCTTTAACAAGAATTGAATCAATGTTATTGCCATTAGCCTGTGTTTCAGTCTAAAATAATTGTGTTAAATTCCCCCTCCCTCCCTACTCCAATAAAAAAATAATAAAGTAGTGGGTATATAAAAAGTTACTTTACATAGAAAATATTTACAATTAGATACAATAAGATGTCATCCTATCAAATCAAGAATCTTAAAAAAAATACATACTCTTCTAGGACTTTCTCCCATCCCCTGAAAATGTTAATTTCCCCTGCTCCATTAGTCTAGCTACGGTGCTGCCTACAGCATGATTAAAAGCGCACATTCTTAACTATTTGACAAATGTTTTAGCACGTAGATATATACAGGTATATATATATATATATTTATATATATATATACATGTATATATTCTGTTTTCAGAATATTGTGAGCTAAATATTTCAATGCGTACATTAAAAATGAGCAAGTTTAGAATGCACGTCGTGGAAAAATGAACACATTCGGTCAACATTCGGCATTTATAAATGGAATATTTTGTACTATCCCCAAAATTGTTGATGAGTTTACTAAGTTTATTATCTTGACTTTAGGAAAGTTGTGAAAGAGATTTCACGTGATAAAGTAACCAAAGATGGAACAGTTATTGCAAAACGAGAGGCTAATTTACTTTCACGGCTACAGCATCCTAACGTTGTTAAATTTTATGAAATCTTTCCGTCTGAGGATATGTACTGTATTATTACAGAGTATTGTGAAGTAAGTTCTAAGTAAGCCTACAAAAATATTTCAAATTTGTAAACATTGTACGTTTTATTTTTATTTTAAATACTGTAGAAATTTGATTGCTTTAATACAGCCCAGAACCAGAAAGGTTTTGTTGTAGCCTAATTATTTTATTTAGGAGCTAAATTATTTTTAAGTGGCTTTTCTAGCTTTCCAACTCTGACTTCCTAACTTCATTGTTGCAGCTTAAATCATGAATAATAAAACCAAAAGATCTAATAGTAATAATAATAATAATAATAATAATAATAATAATAATAATAATAAATAATAATAATAAGAATTTTTTAGAGCTTTTTCAAAAATGATCAAATTCACAAGAACAACATCAGAGATACAAAAGATTTCACAATAATTATAGTAATTTAAAATATAAATGTAGTAAAATTAAACCTATAAAAAGACAATTAGGAAAATACAAAAGCGAGTGACAAAAAGTTTACCAACGATTTCTGAAGTACAATATATGAGTTAAACAATCATGAGTTTAAAAAATGCGTTGAAAATTTAACTAATACAATAATTATTATGCAATAGACCCACTTAATTAATGATACAACTTATTCATGTAATTTTTTATATTAATCTGCTTGACAATTGACAAACACTTAGCAACTGACAAAAAAATCACACATATAAATTTAAACAGATAAAAAACAGTCAACCATGCATATTCTATAGCAACGCAAATAATTTAAAAATAATAGATCAGGCACCAATTATGAACTTCAAATCAAATGAGCTCTTCCTATTATAACATGGACAGGACGAATTCTTCCCTCAACAAGTTCAACATAACACTCGGTATAATATAATAGCATACGCTACCACACATTTCTAACTGATCTAATACCGTATAATGGATAGGCCTACATTACTTCTCCACTACATGGCAACAACAAGTACTAACTATTTGTCAAATATGATATTAATTAATTGTCTATGACGTGGTAACAAACGATAAATAAGGCTACGTGTCACAACGCTTGAGCTGAAGATCATTCAGTATTCATAATGTATATAAGCAATTGATTGTTTTGGAATTGTTATCAATTAGCACTGATGATTCCTAGTAGGAAACAGGAGAAACATGTTTGCAAATAAATGGTTTTTTCTTTAAAATTTGTGTTTATCTCGATTTCGCTTCTATCTTTTGGTTTTATTTTTCATGAGTTAAACTGCAACACGGAAGTCAGAATTGAGGAAGCTAGAAAAGCTCTGAAAAAATCATGCAAAGCAGAAGCTGATTTGAATTTTCTCAAAAACTGCAAACAATTCAGCGTTTATCCCAAAATTATAATATACTGACAATGTTATCAATATGCATCTAATGACAGGGTGGAGACTTAAGTAGGAAGATTAGTGCATGGAAGGAAGCAGGCAAACATTTTGAACACAGGGTTGTTATGGACTGGTTAGTGCAGATAATTCTAGCTGTGCAGTATATACATGAACGGTGAGATGTGCAACTTCATATTTTTTGTTTTCTTTATCATAGAATCGGATTTAGCGTTGAACCATAATAATAATGTATTATAGTGGGGACCTCTGTGCTCTTAATATTGCGATCTGTGGCATTTAAACTCTCGGTCATTGAATCAAGCACATATGGGATATATACTCAGCCTCATGGAGGTATGTCATGCTGTAAAAAAGTGCCTAAGGACACAACGGACGAAATGCACTCATATGAAGCTGATGCAAAGAAATAATTTTAAACGGTTAAAATTTAAATTTTACAGAAATGTGATCCACAGAGATTTAAAGACCTCAAATATCTTTTTAAAAAGTGATACGATCAAGATCGGAGATTTTGGTATTGCGAGAGTATTGATGGGAGCAACTGACTGCGCACGAACTCATTGTGGAACACTTTGTTATATGAGCCCGGAAGTAGTGAAAGGAGAAGATTATAACACCAAGTCTGATATATGGCAAGTAAAACATCCGGAACATGTTCATGACATCCACCTCTTTGAATGAAACAGTCAACCTTTCACCTTTATAAGAAAATTATCCCAGCCCTTAACATATAAATAAATATATAAATAAATACACATTTATCATGCATTATGTTAATTACAGAAATGACTTTTTGTTGATCGGCTGATCTTTCATTGTAGGTCTGTTGGTTGTATACTGTATGAGATCTGTACTTTGCAACTTGCATTTAAAGGGAAGTCCTTAGATGCTACAGTGTCTAATATAGTTAAAGGTGACACACCTGAGATACCCAAAGCGTACCATCAGAACTTACGTCTGCTTATACAAAAGTAAGTGGTTGACCATAACTAGTGTAAGTTCGCCCTCCGATCTTTCCCTATAGGTCGGTTGGTTTTCTATAGGCCTATGAGACAAGTACTTTACAAAATACATAGAGATAAGAGGTAAGCACCAATATTCTACCTTGCTAAAGATAGCTGAATGTATCAGTTTTTAAATGCCAGATACCTATGATCAAAATCTAAAACAACTTATTAAAAAGTGAGTAGTCCGCCAACTGTTATTATTGACTTTTCCCGCAGTAGTTGTAAAAACCATTGTTTTTGTTCTGTATAATAAAAAATTATTAAATTTTGGTGACGATCCAAAGCTGAGTGTGAGTACAACTAAAAGAGAAACGTCCCAGACCAAATATCCTAAAAACGTGACCAACTAACTAATCTGAGTGATACTTTCTGGAAACTTTAACCAATTTACAAGGAAGAAATTGTTTGGTGACGATCCAGATTCGGGTGTGAATTAGAGGGTCGTTCAATGTGCTAATGTCCCTTACCTAAGTATCTAAGAAAAAACCGTATCAATGGATCAAAATGAAACTTTCTAGAATAGTCTGTCACATTCCAATTAAAACAATTTGAAATTTTAGTGACGATCAGTAGTAGGGTGTGGATAGGAAACCATTTAAAGTGTAGGCCTATTAATAAACTGGTAATTAAACTATTATGAACGCAATTTGCATTTTCAAAAGCGATAAAGACCAGCTGCAGTTAGGTTAAACGCAAAATATGAAATGCACGAACATTTTTCGCCTTTTAATCACCGAATTACCATGATACTGAACTAAAAATACACTAAACTACGCAGGGTCGGCTAAAAAAGCGTGCAATGGTTAGGAGTCTCCATCACCCTCACTGTGTTCACTGTTATCAATGCAGCTGCTATATTTGGTTTTTATGATGTTTTTTCTTTTTAGTGTTTTGTTTCTTTTTTTACTTTATACTTTGTTAGTCCTATCTCTGTCGATACAAACAGACATGTTAAGTATAATCGTCGTCGCCGCTGTCACAACCACTGCCGTCATCATCATCATTAAATTATTATTATTAACTTTTAATTGAACGATCCCCGGGACTACAGCATTATCTTCTTAATTTTTCCAGAATACTAAATAAAGACCCTTTCAAGAGACCATCTGCAGTCCAAATAATTTGTACAGATTTTGTAACATGCCACCTAAAGGTAAAAATTTATCTGATGCTACTGATTCTTATCTAACGATTACTATAATTGTTTAACAATTGAATAATAGTGTTTGGTTACGTACAAGAAAACACTTTTTTGACAATTAATGTAGAATAAACACATTATATTCAAGCACATAGAATTACAAATTTATTCTCAGCCAGTAAAGCATAGATATTCAATAGAAGTTTACTATGTTAGAATATTTGATTATACTTAGGCCTACATCAAAACTTAGAAATAAAGAATACATTGTACATGCTTATACATATGTTTAGGCTAATCGTTTTTTAGAAGCAAAACTTTAACAAAATGCAGCAGATAATATTAATTAATAAGTTGTCTAGATCAGTGGCGTCGAGAGGGGACAGGGGTCGCTGCCCCGGGGCCCGGGTATATTGGGGGGCCCGGACCAAGATGAAAAATTTTCGGGGTAAGAACAAAATCTCCATAGGGCCTGAGCCCAAACCAGGATGAAAACTTTTGTTGTCAGATTTAATTTGGGGAGCGGTCGAGTGGGGGTCCCAAGTGAAGAGGGCCCCATGTGAGGTATTGCCCCGGGGCCCTTACTGGCTCTCGACGCCACTGGTCTAGATATAAAATACACCAACATGCACGAGAAGAATTATTTTATTTCAGCAGCAGTCAATCAAAAGCTAATAAAAATACATATGCTTTGTTTTCTTAATTTCAAAAAAGGAAATGAAAAACCAGATAGCAGAGTTCAAGAAATGTAATGATGACATTGAGAGCCAGAAAACTGATGCAGATGAACTGACAAAGAATAAAGTATTTCTGTGTTTTTCTTACTATTCAAATAGAAGCAATACATAAATGTAAAAACTTACTTTTTCTGCACATTAATTAAACTTCTATGTCTGGCTCTTCTACTGTAGCCTATAGGTATGATTTTCGTATTGATAGATCACTTATGTTATGACGCTCTCGAGTTGCCCTCAAATTTGAGCATACATTCAGGCTACAAATTTCAATATCTATATAGGCCTAAGAACTTGAGAAAAATATAATTATTGTAATTATGAATACTGATATGAAGTAATCATACAAACTATATTCTATATAGGTATATACAAGAAATATAAATTTCAGCAATTTTCCCCACAGCTACCATGGGTCGTAAATAACCCTGAAGTTTACAGTGATCCGTCTTTCCAAACCCTGCCTGCCAAAAGTACATTTGACAACGATATTACCACTGACACAGGGAGTTGTTCTGGTAAAGAAATAGCTGACAAACGTCAGGGTAGCTTAACACGTTGACTTCCAGACCTTTTTTCAAGGTTCCTTCCCGTGTGCCAAAACAAGTTTACACGTGCAAACATACTTTTACAAAGTTTTATCTAGCCATATATCATAAAATTGACCTACAGGCTATTGACCGAAATACCATTCGCGCACAAGATTTTGCCGACACCACAGTTCGCCGAATGCCAGTTTGCCGACAGGACGATTCGCCGACAGCCAATTTGCCGACAGACAATTCGCTGACATTTTTTTGTGAACATGTTGGATTGATGTGTCACAAGTGGCATATTTAGATGTATTATTTTTATTCGGTTATTAAATGTCCAAAACCATTCTAGTACAGAATAATGTGCACATCCTACAGATATGAAATGTTAAATTATGTTTTGAGCATTGAATTGGAAACTTCCATACTGTGATAGAGCTAAAAGATCATAAGAAAAATTAGTAGGCCACTGTTTGAATCGTGAAAGAAGTATTCTATTCTGGTAACGTATGACTTATTTATAATAATGGTAGGGCCGTACGGATGCTGGGGCGGATGCCAGATGGTGCAACGGTGCGATCCTACCACCCCCCCCCCACCCCAAATTGTATTAAGAAACATTTTTCTATTACCTTGTATTGTAGATATTAACATAGTATATGTTTTTTTTAAGGTATGAGAGTGCAACAGCCGGGCACATAGAAGTCAATATTCTCAAAATGTTCGCACCTCAGCCCCATCCATAGTGGGCCTGAGGTTGTGTGGACTTTCACGCACCCCCACCGCCAAATACGGCATCCCCAAGCTGAAAAAGGTCTACTGTTAAAGCAATGTTTAACTACTATTACATGTACGTACATTAATATTTTAATATGAAATCCCATGGTGACAAATATAGTAATGATAAAGCATGAATATTTAATTTATATAGGCCTATATGAGTTATGTAATATAGTAGTGCGTGTTTTGAGCTACAAACACAAAACTGTGATAAACAGAAGTGATGTTAATGCAATGATGATTATTTCTCTTTTCTTAGCCTAGTCTTCTCAGAAATAAATCGGTAAATGTTTTGATAAATATTTGTATTGTGGTCTCTTGTAAATTTATGTTCGGACCCTGTCAGACAGCCTCTCTGAAGCTATCTGACAGAATGTTTCGTCGACGGACAGCTTGCTGACAGAGGTTTCATCGACAGTTTCCATTTTAATTGAAATATGCTAAATCAACATATATTATATCTTCTCTGAACCAATTCAATAATAAATGTAATTTCTCCGACACACAAAATTCGCCTACTTAGAAAGTGTTGGTCAAGACGTTTAATTAGTTAATGTGACATGGATGTTTGTGAATATGGTATTGGTGGTATAATATAAATACACATACATCGATTTGATGTCTGTTCACATTTCAGGGCTTCCCAAACTGTGGGTCGCGACCCAAATTCAGGCCACAAATAAGTTTCAGTGAGTCACGAAAAAGTGCACATTTGAACAAACAAAATTAAGTTATTTCTGTTACTAAAATCTATAAAAAAAAAAATTAAGATCATTAATATCTAAAAGCTACTTGTAAAATAATAAGTGCTGTTATAGACTGTTACCATATTTTTTAGCAGTTTATATTGTTCGTCAAATAAGTTTGGGAAACCCCGCGTTAAACCAGAAGAAGAAGAAGAAGAAGAAGAAGAAGAAGAAGAAGAAAAGAAGAAGAGGAATAAGGAAAAGAGGAGGAGAAGAATAACTTTATGATGAATTTAATCATGTTTGCTTATACTTTCTTTATCTAGCTCTAATGCTTAGTCACTATTAAAAAAATATATTCGAAATCCTACTCTGTTCTTTATTAAGGAATGTTTTTGTCGGTATACATGTCGTTTATTTTTGTTTTATTTTACATAATATATGCTTTTTAACTACAACCTCCCAACTCCTCTGCTACTTTTAATATGACTTATTGAATAGATATTATATTAAAATATTGTGCAATTTTGTTACATAATTATTATTATCTTATTAAATTATTTTCTTAATTGTATGATCATCTATTTTTATGTACATTTCCTTATTATTTTTTAATTTGTCATTTACTGTATCTAATGTATATAGACAGATAATCAATTTGGTTTTTTTTTATTCAATTTATATATAGCTAACTTAATTTATTCCTCATTTATTTAAATGTATGTACCCATTAATTTATTGATTTGTCTAATTTGTACCGTACATTCAAACTGTAATTCAGCCTGTGCTACTATTTTTTTAATTTGATATGTAAACGAAAAAAAAGATATCAAACAATTGCTATTGTAATGTGTCCTCCACTTGTATATTTCAACTTTACTGCATATTTGAAATACGTCATATTCTGGTGCAAACATTTGAAATAGGCCTCATTACTTTATTAAAGTATATTGTACATTTCAATTTTTCTTTAAATTTGCTGTAAAGTCACACCTTGTGTCTTGTATCCTGTCTTTCTTTTTATTTCAATTTGTAACAATTTCACAAATTGCCCTTTATATTGCTTTAGTTATTACAGTCTCTTATGATTTTCTATAGTAGAAAATATTTAATAAAAATATAGATGAACATGTGTTTATTATAGGCCTGTATTTAATGTTTTTAGAAGAATCTTGTACTGGATAATAATATATATTGAATGTGTGTCGACATGTATAAATAGCTATAAATAGCGACTTTCCATGACGAGTACTAGCCAGTCCTCAACAAAATAAAACATCTGTCGAAGAAAAATTAACACAACATCACATCACAAGAAAAAATTTCGGTCAAATATCTGTCGGCGAATTGGTTGCGAACTGGCTGTCGGTGAATCGTCCATTCGGCGAAATGTCAAGTAGGCGAATTCGGTTTCGGCGAATTCCGGTGTCGGGGAATATTCTTTCGGGCAACTGTCTGTCAGCCAAACGTCCGTCGGCAAAGTGGCATTCGGCGAAATGTCCTTGTACCGCTGGCAGCCAACGTGTTAAATAACAAAGTTAAATTTCTACTAAACGTCACTAATAAATTCAATCCTTAATGGAACTACGACAATTGTTTTCATAGTAAGTGCAATAGTACAATCCTCAAATGCTCATAGGTATTAACATCAATGTGTTTTAGTAGACATATATTTATTATTGTATTGCCTTCCAATTTTCTCATTCAGCTATCCGAGACCCGCTTTCCACAAACGTACGTGATGATACATTTAGTGACGAAGTTCCTACCGCTGACACAGGTTATTGTTCAAGTAAGGAAATAATTGGCATAAGCAAGGCATAAGTATAGGTACCTTACCTTGTAAAGTGTACATTTCTAAATGCCAAACAAAATTCAGTTCATAGTGAAACTACGTCAGTTGTTTTTTTCATAGTAAGTGCAGAGTGTTTACCTCAGCTTTTAAGAAATTTACGTTAACGCCAACGTTAACATCAGTATGCTTTAGTGTGGACAGTTATCAATATCTTTGTTAAATATTTATAACGTTTTATAACATAATATGTACTGTGTACAGGTTTTTTGGACTCCACCTTCGAATCAGCTCTGCAAGAAAAAGGGCAGTCAGTTCCGTACCGTATGTCCAGTGCAAGATTAATTGTCGGGTCTTTTGATGTGATAGAGGAATTCCCTAAAGTTCTCAGAAAATTCATCGTAAGAACTGCTTCTTTTACCCACTCCACTCCTAAAGGCTTAAGCTAGTAATATGATAAATATTAATGATAATCGGATTCGGTATCAGAAGTTGTTCAAAACTAATAATCAAGAATATTGGTGGCCCTTAAAAATTAAACGATTGCAGTGGCGGGTCAGGGAATTCGAAATGGAGGGGACCGGAGGGTGAAGACCACCTCAGCCTCACCATGGTTGGAGAAGCTGAGGTAAGAAAATTTATGATAATAGCACCTCTACTTGGCCAGAAATGGCATTCTCAGACTTAAATTTAATTATAATTTCCATTTTTTTTTCCATTTCTTTTATAATTTTGAAAAAAAAAATGTGGAGGGAGGCTGGCTGGGGCACCCTTGAATACACCACTGATTTGAAATCAACAAAGTAATCAATAATTACTCCTGAATAGGCTATTAGGCCAAATAACAAAAAAATCCTTGTTTACCCTCCTCTCCCTCACCGTATATCTTATTACTTTTTAATGTATTTTAATGTTTTTATTGTATATTTTATTGTTCTGAAAACATCCCTTAATACGTTTTACTGTATTCCAATTATATTATATAGTCTTAATGTTTTTTACTGTTTTGTTTGGAACATTTTAATGATTCCATTCTGTTTTTAACTACTTATGTTTGATCGCTTAGCTTTAAAGCACATTTCTGATAATTTATGCTAATAGACTGAATAAAATGAATTGAATTAAAAAAATGAATTATTTTATGGGTCCACATGAATTTTTTTTTGTTTTTGTTTTTTGTTATTCTTTAAAATTTTGGGTTTTTTACATCGAAAATGCAAAATTTCATTTGTTGACACATTTTATAGTTTACAAATATGCATTTTTAAAGACAAAGACCATGATAAATTTTTTTAAAAAGAGCAAGAAAGTCAATTACAAAACTATTGACAAATTGTTTACATATGGCATATGTGACGAACTGTGAAAAATAACAAATAGGCCTATCAAATAATAAGTGCCTCCCTCAACTTTTGGAAAAACCCAGGACGGGAAACAAGGATTTTGTGTTACTTGACCTTGTTGAGGGGCCCGCTGACCATTTTATTCTTCAATTCAACAATTTGGAAATTATTTTACATTATTATTTTTGGGGAATTTATGAATGGCCCCTCATAAACATGTGCCCCAGTGCTTTGCACTGGTTGCACTGCCCGTAGCTACGCCACTGCCCCCACTCCCTCCCATTGAAAATGTTCGAAGCAAGTAAAATCAAGCTCAATTAATAAAAATAATTTCATATCACCTTATTTTGTGAGCTAGCGCCGCCCCGTTACTTAATCATTGAGCCCAAACTAACTTCACCTTCACCCCACCCCATCGCTCTTTCCAATCCCATTCAAGACTCAAGATAAACCACTGACTGTAATACTGTTCATTTGACGTTTCTCTCTTCTTCCCCTTTTTCAGGAAGAGAAAGTAGGAAATGATGCATTATAAGTATACTAGAGGAGAACACTGAATTTGTAAAACGAGTAAAAAGGGGGATTATTATAAAGAGACAAGAACATTTTTGAGTTACTTTTCCAAGATGTCAATGGACGCAGAATGACTGATAGTGCATTCCCCTTTTTTTGAAGCCGCAACACGAAATGATATCCATTGATCTCTCATCGTACGGTTTCAATGGGCACCGGGAACACTAAGTGGAGGAACTCGTGGATAAATGTAGTCTGAGCAGATGTTGCATGATCCTATTAATTATGTTAAAAATATTACCTGTGTAAACTTTTTATAAAGCTTAGGCATGAAAATCATATCAGTCCAAAAACTGATTTAAAGTTAGGTAACAATAACAACAATTTCGTAACTTCTGTGATATTTAGAATTAGATACATGAATAATGAATTCTAAAAGGAAAATAATATACTGATGGGTTGGTCGTTTGGTTCAATATTAGCACTATTGTAATTTTCATGTAGTATGAGAAAGTTTAGAAAATCATGTGATGCTCGACGGGCGAATTGATTCCATATGCTAGTCTTTGTAGAAAGTATCGCTGTAGACAACTTTATGTATTTTTAGATATGACAGCACTATAGATAAATCTATGCATAGGCCTAATTGCATTTTCAATATAATTTTAATATATTTACGTTCGTATACAGACTAACTTATTCAACATAGGCCTATAAACAACGGAAGTTTTCAAGAAACAAAAAAATCATTAAAATTCGGGTTGATTGTTTTAAGTTTGTAGTTCGTCAGATGCAGTTGGTGTAAAATGATAGATTCATATTATCGTAATTGTATCGAATATTGATTCCAAATGCAAACTATATTTCATATAAAGTAGTCACCTACAGTTTGCGTTTTTCTAATGATTATTATAGATTTTTACTGATGTATTGTAAAAATTTTTAATGCGTTTGGTTTTTTAATAGATTTATAATGTTTGGTTTTGAATATATTTGTATCTATGTTTGATTTTCTCAACCTAAGAATCTCCCATCTCTCTCAAATTTGAAATGTTTGCTTGTTTTTACTTCTGTAATAGTTTTCTTAACACATTAAATTTTATTTTGCTGCACACTGTGATATCAGTGACACTTTTTTCCGTGAGATTGATAAAGCATTTATCTAGTCCTTTATAATAACCCATATATTTACTATTTACCTATATAAAATAAAAATATATTGCTCACAAATGATAATATTTGATGCTTTTAAGACCTACCTTGGTTTAACACAGGAGAGATACGATTTATCTCATCATGCTTTTCTCAATATACTTTTAAGTATGTACAGACCTTGCCTAAAGAGACTAAAGGTCCCAAACAGGCTTACGTAAGACATCAGCGGGCTTTCTATTCTGGTACACATTGGTCATTGCATTACGGTATGTAATTATTATTATTATTATTATTATTATTATTATTATTATTATTATTATTATTATTATTATTTTCCAAGGCTGCAAACCAATTGAATCTGAATTGTTTTGGTCTATCTTATTAAAAGTTGATGGCCTAATATTTGCGCTCCTGCAGTATGCGTGAATAGTTCTGTACCGATTGTTTAAACATATCTTGTACAGTTGTGCAAATCCAGATTATTGAATAATTATTTTAATTAATGCATGATATGTTATTCTAGAAGACGATATTTCTGTTCCAAATACAAACGATTGTATGAAAAAGAATCCTGTGTATTTTTATTTTGTTTATTTATAAATTTATTTCTTTTAAAACTATATAACGATAGAAGACGATATTTCGTTCCAAATACAAACGATTGTATAAAAAGTGCTTGCGCTTAAGAATCATGTGTATGGTTTTTTTTATAGTTTTTTAAGTTTTTATAACTTTATTTCTTTTAAAACTACTCTTTTTAGTTATTTTATTGATCTAATGAATGTCTCATTTTTATCTTTTCCTTCTTTATATTTTATGTTCTTTCAAATATATTTTATATTGTTGTATTGGCCAGGGTTTGAAGATGACCACTTGATGTGTTGGGCATTAGCCCATGTCATCTCTAGTCACGCCCCTAGTCAATATATTTTTATTTGTATTGTGACGAATTTTTTATTTTAAAAAATGTATAGTGTGCAGTGGCTATGTTTTAAATAAACCATTACAAAATATTGAGTTGAAGTTAAACAAAATAAATCATGTATCAGCAACGATGAGCACCATTCAATAAAGGCAGGAGTAGAGTAGAACCCAAATAAGGGGCTTGCCCCAAGTCTCGAATTTATTGATTTTTCCTAGTATTAGATAATTTCGGAGAGCTCCACCAGCATCTGTTTATGTTGAGAAACTTGTTATGTTGTTGAATTTGGATGGGAATTAGAGAGGTAACAGCACTAGAGGTGTACTTGCATGCGTTATGGAGTGTCGTAGTAGTTGTGTGGAACTGGAAATGGCTTGGAGTCGGTTAGTTTTTAACGATGCCTGGGTGACCTCGGAGTGCAGCAAAAATCAAAATCTTCATGCAATATGTATTCAAAATATGTACGATTTAAAACCCTGGTGGGTCGGGTACCGAAATGACCATTGTACATTTTAAATGCTGCAGTTACTCCATACATAAGTGTAAGCCAACTTTATAGGAGAGCGATATTATAATTGAGTGAGGTGGGGAAGGTACATGTTGATAAGGTAGAAGTTGGTGTAATTGGAGGGGAATATTGTGAGAGGCAGCAATATCGGTAATGCCAGCATTGATGCTTCTCAAAAACTGCTGTGTACTTTAAAAAGTACTTGACCATGGTTGTATAATAAAAATATAATTGTACGGTAGTCAATTAGGAAAATGCATATGTCTGGTATGCAATTATTTTCAATGATTGTATACATTTGGGAAATTGACCTGCAAAAAGAGTTCATTTGAGACCATTTCTATGTTATTTTGATTAAATGGAGTTCGGAAATCTCCGTTGCACACCATGAAATTAAATAGCCCTATGTGTAAAACAGGTTGTATTTATTTCGCGTACTATTTTTTGTAATAACTGGAAAACTTACAGGACACAATTTTTGTTCAATAACCTACAAGGCTTTTTCACAGCACATGGAAAAACAATTGAATGTATTTTCTGGTATTTAACTGTAAATCATTAAATATGATGGTAATATTTGTCTCCAAAAATGGCTCGTGATGTTTTGCGATGGAACATAATGAACGTAATGAAAGAGTATGGGCAAGACGGCAGAAGTGAAGTAAAATTTGACGAAGACAGCTGTAGCCTGAAACACTAGTAGACTGTGTGTTGTGTAATTAGACAAAATAAAGTGAATTAAATGGCGTTTCTAGGAAACCACAAAATAATATCGGAAGCAAATGTGAATTGTCCGGGATAAAATGGCAAACATATTGTTTTTAAGAACACAAAGAGAATGAAGAGAGAATTGCCAAGTTCCTTGGTGTACACAAGCGATACCACATTTTTTGGTTCTGCTGCTGCTGTTGTTGTTTTTGTTGCTGTTGTTCCCAGAAATTTAAAAGCATATATCGTCACAAATTTTGAACGGACGTGCAGTATTTTTAAAATACAGGTTATTTCCAAAGACGTTCATGGCCTGTTTTTTTTTTTACTTGACCCCAGGGTTCGCCTTACACCTGCAAAACAACACAGGGATTATAGCAAGGACTGTACATTACTGCCATTACCACTAATATAGCACGTCGCATGGATGGCGAGGTCGGTTAACAATGTGTTCTAAGGGAATAGGAAACCGAAGATCTTGAGTTCGAATGCGCCTTGGTATTCAATTTTATTTTTTAAGACATTTTATTTTTTATTTTATTATTTTCATTATGAACCCTTGCCGAAAACCCAATATATAATAACTTGCTCCACTTCTTACTGTATTTAGGCATGCTTTCCTCCATGATTTAAGTATGTTTTAATAGTGCCAACAAAATGCCCGGCCTCGTCTGAAAGGTGCATACACTTTTCGTATATTTTATCCTTTTCGTATAATTTTATCCTTTTGTATATTTCATCCTTTTCGTATATTCCATCCCTTTCATATATTTTATCCTTTTCGTATATTTTTGTATTAACTTATTATGTATGATGAAGGCGAAATAAATTAAATGAAATGAAATGAAAGCGTTAAACGCTGAACAGAGGTAAACTTTTGATTTTTCTTGCTAAGACCTAGACTTGCTAATTACTAATTTATTTGGAGAGCAATAATTCCAGAGGGGAAAAGACAGTAATACGGTAGGCCTATGGTATTCCAATTACACTGAGCGATCATTTTATATTTCCAGCGATCGTTATCTTGCCACAAAACACAAATTAAGGGACTCACAATCTTCCTAAATTAAAAAATGTTGTTTGTTATCTGACCCCTGGATAATATTCACAGTTTTAAATAGCATTTAAATCAAATACTGCGTCCTACTACTACATTCACAATTTACATTGTGATCTAATACAATATTTATGATCGTCTATTATTGTGAACCAACATAAAAGGAACTGAAATCAACGGGAGTAAAATACACAACACGTCTATACAAAACGTTGTTGATTGTGATCAGACTCGTTGATATGGTAACTAGGCCAACATGTTGAATGTATAACATTTAAATAATAAAGTACCCTTTCACATCGTATAGCCTACTTTTATTATTACTGCTTAAAGATGACAAAGGAACACAACTATTTCCTTCTAGAGAACCATCCGTGATGGTATTTTTATAATTTACGGAAAAAAAACACTGGATCAACGAGGAAAATTATCAAAACTGAAGGTATTTGATAGTTTGAATACTCCAATATAATTATTTTTAATATTAACTATTTTATTTTCTGTTGATGTAGTATGACCATGCCTATCTGCATTAGAGTTCGTCTAGACACAGCTTATTGTATGTCTACATGCAATAATAAATGATAGTAAACACATACTGTATTAGGATCAGGAATTTATGTTAAATCCTTTTAACCATGTTTTTGAAATGGTGATTGTTTTTGTTGATGCTGCTGCTGATGCTGTTGTTGATGCTGTTGTTGCTGCTGCTGTTGTAGCTGTTGCTGCTGCTGTTGCTGTAGCTGTCTCTGTTTCTGCTGTTGTTGCTGCTGTTGCTGCTGCTTATGATGTTTTATTCACAGGTACGGTTTTATCAGACATTCACAAAGCATTCGATTGTGTTTCAAATTCTTTCACTTTGATGGGCATAAAATCTATAAAACGGTTTAAATCCCATTTTTTGAAATATTGTGAAAAAGGCTCATGTAAATAATATTTTATATGAAGCAAGGGATATCTCATATTATTATTATTATTATTATTATTATTATTATTATTATTATTATTATTATTATTATTATATTTAACCCTTCTCTATATGGAGAATATTTGACAATCATTAATTTATTGCAATAGACTAAAAGTTAATTTACAACCTTTTGAAACGAGTATTAATTGTTTTGTTTGGTTTTTTCCGAGTAGATTTGTCAAAATTAAAAATACAGCAACCCTCACATTGGCTCTTAAGTGAATTTCAGCAGCAGTAAATCAGACCTAACGACATGTATTTTAAAATCTGCTTTATTTTCTTCATCTCAAAGGAAATGGAAAACGAGATAGACGAGTTCAGGGAACGAAATAATGACATTCAGAGCCAGAAAAATAAAGTATATTTTGATATTGTATAAGTTTTTATTACTATTCAGATGAAAGCAGTATGTGAAAACTTGCTTCTTCTGCGATTATTTCAACTTATTCATTCAGTAGGGTCAATCTGACGTGTGACAAAAATAATGTGCGGAAAAAGTATTTTGATGTTTTTCTGTAGCGTAAGGTCTGAGAAAAGCATGTAAAAAGTTGGTAAAAATCGGACCTCTTCAAATTCATGTTCTTCAAGCCAATATTATTTAAATATGGTTTAACGTTCACACCCACTTGTATATCTGAATAATGATCATGTCACTGGTTAAAAGTGGGTATTTTTCATACTGACTATAATTGATAATACTTTGTTTACAATAACCTTCTTCTTCCTTGAAAACAGGTTCAAGGAACATTTATTAATCACATAGGCCTCTGGCCCAAATAATATACAAAGTATGATATTAACAAAATTAGAGTGCATTTAAATATTCTTTTCTACGTTTAAATGCGTAAAATAAGCATTTTGATAACTTTGAAATGAGATAAATATTTTTAGTAGACATTAAATTAAGAAATTTGAATTCAGACGGAGTGTCTGTGTAACAGGTAAATAGAAATTTAGTTCTAATATCTGAATAAAAAGGGCAAACTAAGGTAAAATGATATTCATCTTCGACTTTTTGTAACGAACATAATTTGCATAATCTTTCATTTTTATTAACATTATACCATCTTCCTTTTTCCAATTCTAATTCTAATATCCCCAATCTTAATTTAGTAAGGATTTGTTTATGTCTGTGATTGTCTACCTTTGTTAGATACTCCTCTACTCTGAATTCATGTTTAATTTGTGAATATAATTTTAATTTAGAATGTTGCCTAATTATTTCAAAAAACTTTTGATTCTCAATGTCTGTTAACCTTTGTTTTAGATTAAACAAAGGTTAACAGACAGTTAAGTTCATGCCAAATATCTCCAAACTCAATGGAACATAATAGATTTTTTACATCACTGCGTTTCAAAGCTAATGCTTCCAGTTTTTCTAAATTATAAATGATTTCATTGTTTTTTTTATATATATATTTTACGTAAATAAAAGTTATGAAATTGAAATTATAATTGGTGTGCTGATTGTCTTGCCGACTAAACGTATGTCTTGACACTGTCGAGTTGCCATCAGCTTTGAGCATCCAAGCTACACATCTTAATCTTTAAGTTTACCCCTACCTACTTACCTAAATGCACGATTATATACCGGTAATAGTTAATGAACCTGGTACCTTTTTTAAGTAACATAACCTAGTATTAGTCCACCTTTGACAAGTAAATGCATTGAAAAAAAAGATTATTAATACGATGAAACTATACAAACTAATTTTTACATAGGACTAGAACTGAAAATTAAAGTACAATAATAACTTCAGGAGTTTTCCTGCAGCTGCCATGTGTTGTAAACAACAACGATGCCTACAGTGGTCCAGCTTTCCAAGACCCGCCTGCCACAAATACATTAGACAACGATGATATGACAGACAAAGTTAATTGTTCTGGTAAGAAAATAATTAGCAGGGTAGCTTAACTTGCAGAGTGGAAGTTTCTGAATGTCCTTAAATTCAATAATAATTTTTTTTTTTTAAACTGCGCAAAATATATTTTTAGAGTAAGTGCAATAGTTTGAGCCTCAATCCTAAGGAAATATTCAACGTAGGGTGCTAAAATCAGTATGTTTTAGCATGCATATAGTTATCATTTTATTGCCTTCAAAAATTTTCTTCCAGCTATCCGAGATACAATTAGTTATGAAGTTACTACAGGGCATTGCTCTGGTATGGAAATAAATAGCATACGTACCTTACATGCCAAAGTGTACATTTATAAATGTCATCTAACAAATAGTTAGCAAAATTACTCCCATTATTTTTTTTTCATAGTAAGTACAAAGCCTCAATCGGTTTTAACATTAGTGTTTTTGTGGACATACAGTTATCATGTTATTGCTTTAAAATTGTATCATAGTGTAATTCATGTACATAGTAGTACAGAAAAGAAAGTAATTAAAAATACTTATCCTATCCCCCTGAATTCATAAACAAAGAAACTTGCTGACTGTAAGCATAATTAAGAGTAGGCCTATTACTCAAAATACCCAATAACCACTAAAGGAATTTGCTAGTATATTCCCAAATGAGGCAAATGGTCACACACTTGTTTCTTGGGAAAGGGTAGTAATACCCTGTAATGTGATTCAACAAAAGGTCTTAGATACATTGCTAACTTAATTGTATGAATATATTTCACTTTAAAGCCAGTCGTTATTACAAGTCTAGTGCATCCCTACTTAACTCAAAACCCGCTCAGCTAAAAAATGTTAGTTGAGGTTGTTTTTTATGTGTGTTATAGGTGTGGCTGCTATGTTCATTCCTTATCCAACTGCTTTGGCTACTTTTCAGTCTCTTGGGTTTCAGATTTTCAGCTCTGAATAAATATGTCAGAAAGAAATAGGTTAAACTCCAGATCGTATATTGGATGTAGGAAAATGAATAAGGAGCGGCTTAAGAATGATGATTGGCTGTCACATCGGAATAGACAAAGCCATTACCTCAACTCTGGAAGAAGCTCATTGCCTGGTTGCCTTCTTTTCTATCGGTATTACATAATCGAATGCGGTTTCTCATGCAGTCAAAATGTCAAACTTTGCCAAATTCAGGTCCATCAAAATCTTGTCAGTAAAATGTATCATGAATTAATATAGTGTGAATATGAGGTAGTATGTAGGCAGTATATATGGTAGGTTGGCGTTAATTTAGGGATGGAGATCATTGTATTTTCATGCAAGAAATATCACAGTTTCACTACCATTCTTCCAAAATCTCCCAACGGCATATGCTCACACAAACACGCTTTATTTTTATGCATAACCTGTAAAATTTACTTACAATTTTATTATTTTTTTTTATTGTAAGGCGTTGTTTTGTTTGATATGAATTTAATACTGTAGGCCTATGTACTGATCTGACCCACTTTTTTATTCAGCTCCGCAAAAATGGCAGTCAATTCCGGACCGCTGTGATGAGGAGGCTAATGACTTCTACTTTCGAGATGAGCTTGAACCGGATACTGACGGAGATCTCGGGGAAGAAGAAGTGAGGATCTGCCGTTATAGACCTACAATTATACTTCACCTCAATACGATGTGGTTTTTAGTGTTGTCACCAGACTTCTTTAAAAGGGGTGATGAGTAGGAATATTACAGTGTAGCCTGAACGTTTGTGCTAAACAAAACGATGGCGTAGCCTCGAGCTTGCAGGGCGGATCCAGGTTTAAATAAAATGTTAACACCATGAAATAAGGTAGCTTGAAAGGAACATGGGCTCAGATTATGAGGGGGAGCGGTGGGAACACATCCCCCACATATTTTTAAGGGGTTAGCCATCTCATTTTTCGACCGCAATGTAAATTTTAGTAAAATAGATGCCTGAAAAGTTTTAAAATGAACTGCATAAATGACCCAGGTTTTAAAGAAAGATGATGAATTTTATTATTATAAGAGCGTCATTTCCGGCCATTTTATTTCCCCAAATGTTTGCACCTCAGCCCCAACCATGGTAGGACTGGGATGGCTGTAGGCTCACGTCTTTAAAGTAGGCATAGTCGAGTAAATACATCAAAGACATGTTTTTAAGTGTTATTTTAATGGTACTTCACACATGCTAATTAGTTCTCTATGGTTGCCGAAAATCGATTATAAAAGATCTTGAGAAATTTGTTGGCGCTTCATTTTGACTATAGTGGTAATGTGATGATGATGATGATGGTGATGAGGAATTTTACTATAACAATGTCATTTCCGGCCATTTAGACGTACTATTTCCTCAAATTTCCAAACTTCAGCCTCAACCATGGTGGGGCTGAGATGGCAGTGGGCTCACGGTTTTGAAACAGGTAAAGTAAAGTAAATACATCAAAGAAAATGTTCTTAAGATTTATTTTCTATGGTACATCCCACCTATTAATTAGATCTCTAATGGTTGCCGAAAATCACTGAAAAAGAACTCTATAAGAATGTCATTTCCGGCCATCTATAGGTCTATTTTGACGAAATATCCCCCCACCCACCCTCCACCTTTCAAAACAGATCTGCGCCCTTGGAAATGAGGGGATGGGAGACCGGGCACAGAATCGGATCTGTTATTATAACCGCCAGAGCAAAACGAGCATTATAGAAATGGAGACAGAGTAAGACTGTGGTCAAGGAGTCGCCAATTGAACACCCCTGGTTGAGTTTCTGGGCTGAACAAAGAAACATTATGATATTTTGTAACACAAAATTTAATGATTTTATACAAAGTGTCCACCAGAGCGCAACAATTATAAAATTAGGAGCAACAAATGCTCGAACCAGAAAACGATTACAGGACTCAAATCGAACAGATATACAGTTTTTTTCCTAATTCTAGCTACTCTCTTCTTTTATTTGTTTATAAAAAACATATCACAAATTTATACTAATCAGCAATATTATAACTATCATGATATAAATTAAAGTGTTGATATTTATAATTTCAGGATGATTTGGGTAACTTGATAAATATTATGCAGGATACTCTAGACTTAACTGTACAAGGTATGTAATAAAATTATTATTATTATCATTATTATTATTAATTATTATTAATTATTATTTATTATTATTAATATTTTATTATTATCATTATTATTATTATTATTATTATTATTATTATTATTATTATTGTTGTTGTTATTTTTTATTGTTATTATTATTATTATTATTATTATTATTATCGTTGTTGTTATTGTTGTTGTATTATTACTATTATTATTATTATTATTATTATTATTATTATTATTGTTGTTGTTGTTATTTTATTTATTATTAATGATCATGTCTTTGCCATTACTGGTGCCTAGATATATTTATTTAATGTTAATTATCATTTTAGATCACAATGCTACAACCACTGATGACACGGTTGGAGTTTTCTCACCAACAGTCTGTGCCACCAAAATCAATGATCTAAGAATGTATCCTTATGAATTGATTCAAATCATCAGCCATTTACCTTGCTGTCTGAACCTCCTTTAAGACCGTATATATGCTACATGGTATAATTCATGTTTCTTTAGGCGAGTCTTTTTTATACCTTGTTTCACGAACTTATTTTTTTAGAGATCGTGGTGGTGGTGGTAGTGGTGGTAGTGGTGGTCGTGGTGGTGGTGGTGGTGGTGGTGGCGTTGGCAGCTGCGGCGGTAGCAGCGGTGGTTAACATGGATGGTAGTCAGAGGTAGTATCAATAATAGAACTAAGTAGTAGTAACATAATGTAGTAACATTAGCAGCAGTAAGTGGGTAGAAGTATGTACAAATATGTGCACATTTAGTGCTCAGCTACACTTCACCTGGTAAATATGTATATTTAATAATATTACAACATAGACTTATCTATATACGTACATAGATATGGCACAACAGGGCGAGGGTTTGTAATCTCAGATTATATGGTTTATATTAGCTTAAGGCCAGAGAAAACACTAAATCTATCAACAATATTATCATCGGTAATAAAAAAAATTGTATTGTCCATATACTGTGCTATTTTTTTTATATCCTGATTTCTATCGTTTTATGGATTCCTTTTATAGCATGATACCTCTGTGTAGGGGAATATGTGAGGTAACAAAAAAACTCATTTTGTCAAGAAGGCCCACATACATTCAAAGAGATAACCGTTATGTTGCACAGTATTTTGTGCTCCAGTGTATAAAGTTTCCACCCATTGGATGAAAGACGGACCGAAACCGAATGTTGAAAAGTAGTTAACTTAAAGTTTCTCTCGATGCATGTTCTCAAAAGTCTTTTGAGAGTCAAGTGGTATAACTGCCCTGTGACCATTTGTGTCCAAAATAATCCATGATATCAAGTTGTGACCTATAAAGCAGCCTTCCCTGTTTGATCAGTACTAGTTATTTCTTTTATTACGGCTTTCCTTAACACTCCTTCCTCAGAGAATGTGAAATGAAACTAGGAAAAGATGCATTCCGGAAAGCATACGCATTCCTAAAGGACGCAAAATTTGACAAGAAAGACGGTATGGCAACATTGGATGAAAATGCAATCAAGAAGGGTCTTCGACAGTTTGTCCATAACCCGAGTGACTGCTCTCTCGTTGATAAACTTCTGTTCTTGGAGGAACAAGCTAAGATAATGAAATGTTCGGTAAATTCTTCATAAAATTTCATTTATACGCAATATAGATAGAGGTACTATAAATGCTAAATCTGTATTTGCTCTTAAAAATAAAATACAAGAATCAAAATGGGTGTTCTTGTAGTGCGACCATATAAGTCTAGTTACAGGGGTTGCAGTGAGCCAGGGTCCAGCCGTCGAGGACTTCTGGCGATCCGTTTGGAGTCGCGGTAAATTTTGACATGTTGAATTATTTAAAATCATTGGCCGTATTCAGCTGGTCGTTCTTCGTTAAACCCCACCCATTTGTGCAGTGGTAAAATCCTACTTAACAAAGGTGACCAATCGAATAAAAAATTGGTAAATACTCGACAAAACAAAATAGCTGCATAGTTACCACGATACACGCTGCGTAATCAAGGCTGCTTCGGATTGTGGCAGTATGGGTTTTCGTAAAAAAAAGTTTTCATCCAGTTTTTTAATTCTGTTAGCCTACAATTATTTTTTGACTTCAATGTGGGTAAATATTGTAAGTTTTATTTTCAGAAATTTAATCTAAATTATATTAACGCAAATGTCACGTGCATAACTTTACGCTGATTAACGCATTCTGGTTACGTTAATTTTCTTTGTTAATGAAATCTATTTTATGAACCAGGAATGAAAATAATACTCAACGAAAATTCGTACTCAAAGAAATGAACCAGTCAACTAAGCCCATTGTTTAAGCAAGACACAGCTGGCCCAGGGGGAGCATCACACTTTTATCCGCTTCACGCTACTTGAAACTGAAACTCCAGCCCATGTGCCCCGTGACTCGGCCAGATTCACTTGCTTAATTTACTTACAGCTGATCTAAGACTGCCATCACCAAACCTTAGCTTCATACAACCCTTTGCCCTATATGTAATGTTTTAATTAATGTCCTTATTATTTCATGGCATTATCTCTAACTCCATTTTTTTCTCAAAATACGGAACTTACCAAGAGTGTTGATTTTAATTTAGTATAGTAATTTTAATTTATTTTTTAAATTATTATTTTCGATATTGGTTATTAACCACTTATTAACATATGGACAGAACAATTTAGTATCAATGCGACATTGTGAAAATGGCCACATACATGCAATGTCTGTAAAATATTGTTATGTATTTTTTCGAGATGTTATTCCATCAGCCAAGAGTGTAAGTAATGGCGTAACTACCGCAGGTTCAGGCGGTTCATTGAATCAGGGCCCACGATCTCCAGGCCCATTCATAGGCGTAGATCCCGGGGGGGATGGAGGAGATATATCCCCCCCAATATTTGACAAGGGGGGGATGGTCCATTGTATCATCCCCCCCCCCCAATATTTTGACTATGTATGGGATAAAATGCAGCTTTACACACTTCAAAAGACTGTCACAGAAATTGTTTGTTTTCGGCACCTTATGCCAACATTGTCAAAATGACAGATTAATGTTACATAAGAACATGAAATTTTATAAAATTCGTAAATTTTTTGAATTGCTATAACTTTTCATTTTCTTGGTCAATTTTCACAAATCAAATTGCAGTTTATAGAAGCATTTAACAATCTCGCGGTAAAAAAAATCAAATGTAACAGACATTGCGAAGTACCCAAAATTAATAAAATAAAAACTAACACCATAAAACGAATGGCACGCATAGACTAATAATTGACGGCTGTACTCGCAACTAGTATCAAATTGTCGATGCCCCAGTAAAGATCAAAGGACTGTACGCACGCGCTATGTTCGAGAGCGGAGATGTGCGTCCTTTTGTTGAATTACCTTGATAATAATAATAATAATAATAATAATAATAATAATAATAATAATAATAATAAAGTATTTTTTTTATAATAATAATAATAATAATAATAATAACATACAATCCTCATTTCCCGGTTAGTAATTTACAATACCCACCCTACTCCCCATATAGAAAACAATACGACATAGGGCTTATCTTATTTATAATATAGGCCACACACGTGTATTTGAAACTAAATATAAGCATCATGGTTGTATTTATTACAAACACATTCTTTCACCATCTATACACATTGAGGCCCTTCTTTTAGGTTAAAATGATCTATCTTAAATTTGTCTTTCTTGAGTTTGGGACTATTATGTGTTTAAATAACTTAAAAGGATAAAACTAAAAAAAGTCCTAAAAAATGCGCGTCAAGCGCGCAAAATATTTTTGAGTTTTTAATTCTAATTTCGTCGGAATTGATGAAAACTATCTAAAATGTGCAATTTATAGAGGAAATTGTCCTACCGTAACAAGAAATGCGCGCAAATAATTTGAGAATTTTAGGCACTTTCTGAGGATGCATTTGTCAAGGAGTGGAGAAAGATTTCCAAAGATGGATATTTTCCCCATGACCCCCGGTGTTTTTAATTCTAATTTCGTTGGAATTGATCAAAACTACCTAAAATGTGCAATTTTTTTAGGAAATTGGGCCATGTTAACAAGAAATGCGCGCGAAATTTGAGGTTTTTAGGCACTTTCAGGGGATGAAAGGGCATTTATAAAGGGGGGGGGAAGATTTTTCAAAGATAGATATTTTCTTCTTGTCCCCTAGTGGTTACGCCATAGGGCAGCCTAAGGAGTTATGACAGTTTTTGAAGTGGAGAAGGGGTTGCATGGGTGTTGTGAGTCTGGTCATTATGATATCTTCCTTTTTATTCTTGTCTTTATTTTTCTCTTCTCTTTTTCTTTTCTTTTCTTTTCCTCTTCTTTCTCTTTCCCTCCCTCTCCCCTCTTTCTTTTCTCTTATTACCCAGCCCGGTACGACGGCTTGGTCGGCCCGGTAAAAACTGTCAGGGGAGGGGCAGTTTTCCCTCTGCCCCCCCCCCCGCGCCTGTTAGATGTATATAAGAGACAGACACTGGCTAACACACCAATCATCCCCCCCAATGAAAAATATTTTTCTACGCCACTGGGCCCATTCGATCTTTAAATGCCTTGGTATTCAAGAAACTATATTATTAGCATATAAATACATTACATAGGACTATGTTCTGAATTTATTTAGAATATAAATTATTACCATTAAACCGGCCTATATTAACATACGCATAAGCCATACTTTTAAATAAGAAGACAAGATATATGTTTGGATACAATCGTCGTGTATGGGGCATGGGTTCGCAATTGCAGGTGATAGGTCTAGGCTGCGAACATTTCAGGATTATAAATCAAATATGCTTATGATTTTAATGTGTGTGTGTGTGTGTATATGTATATATATATGTATTTTAAGTGTATATATATATATATATGTTATATATATACACACTTATATTTACACACTTATATGTTATATATATGTTATATATATATATATATATATATATATCTTTTCATTTATATACAAAATAACATTTCTCATTATAAATTCCGTTTCTTATTTAAACTAGACCAACGTACAAACTGAATCCTCATCAAAACGAAGATTTAAGGAGCCTAAGAAAGAAACGAATAAGCACCGTGTGCTGGCAAATAGGTACAGAGTAGAAAGAGAGTTGGATAGTGGCAGTTTTGCGACTGTATTTCTTGTCTCTGACATTAAAGCAAATAACGTCAGAGAACATGGAGAATGGTGAGTCTTAGCTAGAATTGTGCCAGCTGCTACCTACAGTCAGTCTCTATAGCAAAACAAAAAATGTTCTTGTGCTTTGGATTACCCGATAAAACTTATATCGTTTTAACAATATGTTAATTTTTTTTTATATTTCAACTGCCATCACCAATTATTTTTCCTGGGCCACTGGTTTGTGGAACTTCCTTCCTGATGACTGTTTCCCTTCAAATTATAAGCTTTTATGTTTCAAGGGGGTGTGATTTAAAATCCTGTACACCACACTGAAATGCAATATTTTTCAATGCCTTTTAAACAATCGTACTGTGTATTACTATATTATTATTTTATTTTTATTATCGTTTTTCCTATCTTCTTTCCAGAGCGGCAATTGGTCACTTTCCATGCTTTGATCTTTTCCAAATTTTGTCCATAGACCAAATATATGCCACGTAAAATTTAGTGACACTCCGGAGTGGAGTCTGGATGTGAGTAGCAATTAAAGGGATTTAAAGGCAAAGACCGACACCAGATATTTAAAAAAACGAATCAACTAATCTGCATAAAACTTTCGGGAAAGTTTAACCAAGTTACAAAAATAAATTAATATGTTTTGGTGACGAACACGTTTAGGGTGTAAATTTGAGGGTTAAACATTTCTAACGTCCCAGACCTAAATATCTCAAAAAAGCCAATGGACAAGGCCGTAGGTTTTGGCCTGACCAATAATTGAACATTCTACGTCTTTTTGTATGCCCGAATTATCCTTTTAACACAACCTATTTTTTTTTAACGTTAAAACGACGACGAAGCCTCTGTAGACGGCCAGGAATAAAAATAATCTCTGTTAGGGTTCATGGGAAGACATTATGGCTTAATGTGGTCATAAATGTGCTTTTAGACCACAATATTAGGGATTGGCAGTAAAAAAAAAACGTTATTGGGATATGCAAGTTATTTTTTATTATTATTTTTGGTCCGATGACCTAGTAGCTCGTCGGACGACAGGGGTCCAGGTCTGTCTGACGGGGGGAGGGGGCGGGCAGATGCCCCTGCCCCTCCCCCGCTGGCGCCACCGCTGGTCCCAGACATAAATATCTCTAAAAATCTTAAAGGATGTAAATGAACCTTTCCGAAAGAGTTTATGTGACGATCCGAAGTAGGGTGTGGATATGAGGACCATTTAAAGAATAATAATAAACGGGTAATTAACTATATAAAGGAAACTTGCGTTTTCTAAAAGTAATTAAACCAGTTGCAGCAAGGTTAAAGGTATCAAAATATTTTGAATAGTTTTCGTAGTTTGAGTCAACCTGACGTCGAGTTGGTTTTCATGCTTTTTTGACTTTATCATTTCCTTTAGTATGATTTCTTGTGTTTTCACAGTACACATTTTAAATAATTAATTGTTTTAAAAATTTCAACATCACTTCTGATTATGGTAATGAGGAAAAGCCTTTTTTTATACAGACATAACTACTCTAGTTATTATTATTATTATTTATTAGGAAAGCTATGAAGAGGATTATATGCTCATATAAAACAGGTCTTTCAGTACAACATGAAGCTGATGTACTCTTACTTCTGAAACACCCTAATGTTGTTAGATTTTATGACAGTTTTGTCGATGGGGGTATGTTCTATATTATTACGGAATATTGTGAGGTAAGTCCAATATTCAAGATTAGATATATTTTCATTAAAATAATTATTAATAAATTGACTTTAAAACTACAAATGCATGAAATTAAAACTTAACAATGACAATACTTAGGCCTAAGAAAATCGTTGCCCTCCAGCGCCGCCCCTAAATTCCATAAAATAGGGAAAGATTTTTAGAAAAAAGTTTTTTTTTTAAATTTCAAAAGGTCAAACAAATAAATAAACATATTTTCCTAGTCTTTACGTTAAAAAATAATAATAATAAGATTACTAAGACTTCAAAACGAAAGTTTTTCCCGACAAAAAAATCCAACGAAGGTAGCCTAACTAGAAACATGTTGATAGTTTGGAAGATTTGATGAGTTGACAGTAGATGCTCAAAATAGCAAAGCGGCGCTTATTTAATTCCGGAGTTTTTATTACTCGTTAAAGTGGGAAATATAATGATCAGGAAAATCAATTTTAGACGCTTTTATTTTCAACACGACAGCTTCATTCATACTTAAGCTCGCTTGCCATCTGAACACTCTGGTGTGAGACTCATATTATAACAGTATGAGATAAAAGGGAGAAAAAACTAAACGCCTCTCCTCCCCCAAAAATTTAGTGCAGAGGTACCAAAAGCATGTTTACGACCACTTTCTTGAAATTCGAGACCACATAGGCCTAATTGTGCAATCATCCACACAGGACGGAGACCTAGATAAAAAGATTAAAGCATGGAAGAAAGAAGGCAAGCTCTTTGACCAAGAAGTTGTTATGGACTGGTTTGTGCAATTAATCCGAGGTCTGCAGTATATACATAAACGGTGAGTTGTAGAACTCCAGTTTGTTTCTATAATTATTTAATAAACTGGAATAAATAGAATACAATATATAAATAGAAATATTACTGATAAAATAGTAAAACTATGTATAGTTATGTTGCAGCGTCTCGCCCCTGGTTTCACCTATCCAGCTCGTCTAACAGGACGGCAATCTTATAGTTGTGTTTGGTGACGGCACCCAACACAACAATAATTACAAAACTTAAACTAAGACATAGAAATCTGCAAAATAGTCAGGTGTACCGATGTCCCCGACGAGAGCAAAGTGAGCGTGGTCGGGTGTCGCTCAAAATATTTCAAAAGAGGTCCTGGGGGCGAAGTCCTAAAAAATTTGACAATTTAAGGGTTTTAAAGGCTTATGTAATCGATTTTAAAGTCTACTAATATGTAGAAAATACATATAATTGTTTTTTTCTCCCCGACGAATTGTGGTTTTTCTCCCCGATGCAGGGAGGAAGCAGCTCTCCCTGAACGGATGTCCTGGCCCTGGACCCTCGCTGAAGCCACTCCACAACTAAACACATTCAGAGATACACATTTTAGCCCCACCCCTGCCAACTACGATAAACTCAAAGATAAAAATTGTCTTCCATTTTTAACCTACAAAACAGTAAAATAAACATTCGCAAAAAAAATAACCTTCCCCTACCCTACCAACCACTCACCTAAGACTTAAACTGTAATAACTCATTTACCCACCCACACTACAACTGAGCCGATAAACCAATTCAAAATTCAAGTAACAGAACAATAGTAAATACAGCATAGTTAATTAATTAACAGCTCATCTTTTTTCTTGTTGAAGAACTAGGCTGGGAAATCTAGCTCAAAAAATAGCTAAAAGTCAAACAAATTGCAAAGAAATCATTTCTTAAAGTATCTCTTCGGAGATCTCGTTTTGTCGTTTAAGATGCTTAAGAAGAGGGCGTATCATATTGATCTCTGTTTAACGTATGTGCTTCAAGTTTTATTGGCATACCGAGAGTGCGAAATGAATTGCCTTCAACTAAAACCTCAATGGCAGAGTTGATTAAGGCGTCTGCATAGACAACAGAAGGTCCTATAGTCCAGCAAACTTTGGTTGGTTGCATTTTTTTTTGCTATATTTTTTAAAAATTGGATATGATGTAGAGTAGACATAGATAAATCAAAAAAGTATGTGCAACATTTACATTATTATATATATATATTATTATTATTATTTTATATATATATAAATATATACATATATATATACTATATATATATATATATATATATATATATATGAAATAAATAATAGTATTTTTAATTGATCCTATTATTCAGAACCTGTGTAGAAGTACGGGAAAGGTCAATTGGAAAAAAACAGAGGTTTTGTTGGTATTCATTCTGCCTCCTCTGACATGCGTAGGCCTATTTTATAGTGGGGTCGAAAATAAATACCTTCGTCCACAGACCTAAGATTTGTAATGCAGTATAACATACCATTATCAGTCTAATGGTTGATTACCGGTCATTTTGCACAAAATAAACCTGTTAATAATACTCTTTTTAAGTACACATAGTTTTAGTACACATTTTTATTTTTATAGATTTTAAGTTGGGGTGTGACAATTTTAACTTTTTTATCCCTTGTAATTGTCTGTTCATTATAATAAATTAGCCTATTGATTTGACCTCGATAGCCATACAATATATACCTGTGCGTTATCGTTTATTATGAGGATTATGAAAAGATGTCCACGTTTATTTTCAGGGATGTGATTCACCGCGATCTAAAACCTGCAAACGTCTTTTTAAAGAATAATATGATTAAGATCGGGGATGTTGGTATTTCGCGTGTATTGACAGGGGCAGACTCTACATGGTCATTTGTCGGAACACCTTGCTACATGTGCCCAGAGATAATGGAAGGGAAGATGTATAACAACAAATGTGACATATGGTATGTAATATAACCGTCTGTCGCATAAATTGCCTGGTTCAAATCGAACCAACAACATTTCAAATGATTCAATAATATTCTTGATTTTAATCATTTACGTTAGGGCTGTTGGTTGTATACTGTTTGAGATCTGTGCTTTACGATGTGCATTTGAAGGTGACAACTTCATGAATAAGATATTTAATGTCCAACTGCCTGATATACCACAAACCTATCACCAGGATGTACAAGAACTTATACACATGTGAGGACTCGTTTATTATCATTTAATTAAAAACACCAATTGTTTGTTCCTCTCTTTTGGTGAAGCTGCATTAGTGTAGGATTGTCCAAAAATATGATATTATATGTACAGTATTTTTTATCTTTGTTTGATTGAATTTGTATTATTCCACAAACTGTATCAAACCAGAACATTATAATAGGAAAAATAACCAAAAATGTACTAGAAATATCCCGAAGACAACAATCAAAGCAAATAAATTTACCCTGCATTTTACTTTATATATTTTCAGATTAATAGTGAAAGATCCTATAAAAAGACCATCTGCTACGGAAATACTTGATATAGCCTTTGTAGCACGACATCTAGAGGTAATCTCGTATTTAGGAAAATTGCTTATTGTTTCAGTTACTCTCATCCTACATAATTCCTTTGTTTAATTGAAATTGAACAAATATATTTTTCAGACCAAAACAATACAACCTTTTACCCAGTTTGTGTAGCATCAACTGTCAATAGATTATACTTATTCTTTCTAGTGTTTAAATTCAATTAAATCCTCACTGAAACAGATGAACCTTGGCAATCTCATATTCAGTATTCTTTTAGGCACTTGTTTTAAAGTATTTAATTTCTTGTCCGTTTTATTTATTTTCCATGTTTCACTCCCATACATCAATACCGATTTAACCATTTGGAAAAGTTTTATCTTGGCTTTTTCCCATACTATTTGGAGTCGATTTACAAAGGATTGCGACTGCACACAGATTGTGTGGTGTAATTATCTTGTCGACTAATTGTCTGCTTGGAGCATCCGTTTTACACATATAACTATTTATTGGTTCCATTTCATGAACTTACCAATCTATCACTGTATGGAAACCTAATGAAATTACTCGAATACATTCCTTTCAGTATCAAAAAGTTGAAAATACTGTACTCTTGAACGACGGGTCACTAAATTCTTAAATAGCTATTGGATGCTTCCTTTATAACATAAGCAGGTTAGAGATAAATAAGACTTCGTTCAAAAAATAATAACTTAATAGAATCATAGAAAAATACAATTTATTAGTAACTGAATTAAAAAATAATTAAGTTATTTTTAACAATTTTCCACAGCCAAGGGTTGTTAATAACCCCGATGTTTGTAATGATGCGGCATTCCAATCCCAGCTTCTTCCCAGCATACAATAGCTGTCCACAATACCATACACGTGCTGATACTGCTACACTGTCACACGGCAAACTAACAAAGGACAAGGTATCGTATCTTGGATTGGATTCTGTGGAAACACCAAGGATAGCCCACAAAAGTCTAGAAGAAACTTATTTCCAGTGGGGTCCTTCTGGTGGTGATTGGACAGTAGCCTACACCGTGAGACAATAACGTGCACATGGGTCTCATCCGAAAGTGCGCTATTGTAACTTGCATTTCAGCCCTCTAGCTGAAACCCAAGGAGAGGCAGCGATGGGAATTGAACCGGGGACTTAGAGATCTTCACGGTTCAGTGCACACACAGTGGCTACCAGCTACCACTGAGCTAAGCTGCTCTTGCAAACTTTACATTAATATGCATGTTACCATCAGTATGCATTGGTAAATTTGTAGCTTGTTAGCAATGCCGTAGGCAAAATTTTCAAACAGTGCGGGACAATATCAGGGTTGATCCACTTTACTCGTAAATTCAAATAATGTGGACCCATTTTCTTAAAAGTTGACCCATTTTACAAAAATATGAAAAATCTGGACACATTTTCTTAAAATTACACCCATTTTAGGCTAAATATGAGAAATCTTGACCCATTTTTCAAAAAGTGGACTCATTTTATGCATGAAATTGCATAATTTGGACCCATTTTTGTGGGCCCATTAAAACACTTGTGTGGGACTGTCCCAACTGTCCTAATAGCTGACTACGACATTGCCTGTTAGTTATCATTTTTCAATTTTAAAATACTGGGTTCAATCGCAGGATTTTGGAAATGGTTATAGAACAACGGAGATAACAAATTAATGCCTCTTCGCTGCCCGATCCGATAAAGAAACTAAGATATAATATAGTGACGAAAATAAACTCTCTGCTACAAAAACTTATTATAGTAGGTGGTTATAGTACCATAGATTCTAAATAATTGTCTATCCACTCTCGAAGCCTCATAAAGAAACCGATTATATATAACCGAATATAAACATAATATAATCAGCTCTCTGTTTCCCAAACTCTATAAAGAAACTAGGTTAAAAGTATCAAGGAACCTAATGACTAGCTTTTCTCTTATTGAATGTGGTGAAAGTAAATTATAAACCAGTAGTTTCTAGTTGGTACTCTAATCTTATATTTAACGGATACATTTAATAACTTTTTTTTTTGTTTTTTTTTTTAATATTATTAATAGGCTTCGAATGTGTGTTAGAAGTTGGCACAGTTGTTGTAATTTTTCCTTCAAATGAGTCCGGTAAACGTAATTTTATTTCTCGGTGTTTGTACTTCAAATAGCACCGGCCACAACAAACACACATTCCACTGTTAGCACGAATAGATCGACTGGCGTAACATCGCTCTCCATAACATTATGTCCCGGTGTAAAATACTTCTGAATTCCTGTAAATGTTTTATTACACAATGTATTTTTTTTACAGGACAACATTCGTTGTGAGCTAAGCTACACGATGTACGATCATGTCCTTTATTCGAACACTGTATTTACCTTTCTTTGATTATTTATATATAATTTAACAGCTGTCTCTTATACACATCTAGATGTGTATAAGAGACAGGGAGTGATTGACTAAAGTTACTGAATATAAAAAAAACACTAGTTATTTTACAGATGGAATTTGTGCGAAATGATTAACATTATGATATTGGATAATAGTTCGCTGTACTTATCTCTATCATGAAACATGTAATAGACTTACAAGCAGTTATATGTTTGTTTTTTTTTGTTAATACTACATAAACAATTACAAATATGATAAAATATTATCCTATATTTAATAAGAGATCCAATACTGTTATTATGACTAATGATAAGTGTTACTATGATAATTAACTAGTGTAATATGTTCATTAATTTTTTATTTTTGTTTTACGATAACTTTTGTTGCATTTAGACATTTTAATTGGTTTGCATTTGCAAATCCTTTAGCTCTATGCTATTTTTTTTTGTTACTGGTAAGCTATTGAAAAGTATAAACATTTTCAATGTGGTCCTTTTGTTTATGTAGGCCTACAAATCTGTAAATTTATCTATATTGTACGTTATTCTCAATAGTGTGTGCCACTGTTAAAAATAGTGTACATCAAAACAGTTTGATTTGATTTGGTGGCAAACATCTGAGAGTAAAGCAAGTGATCTCCGGGGCGGATGCAAGATGTGGCGTTTGGTGGTGCGGCACGGGATGGTTGCATACCACCACAGCCCACCATGGTTGGGGCTGAGGTGGGAACATTTTGAGAATATGGACCTCTCTAGGTGCCCGGAAGTTGTACACTCATACCTTAAGAATCTTATCGGCAATTCATATCAACAATAAAATACAATTACATTTCTTATATACAATTTATGGGGATGCGATTGCACCGTCTACATCACCCCCTCCCCCTGCATTCGCCCAGGATCTAAGATAGTAGGTCATGTCCACACTCCTTGCTTGAAAGGACTCCCTCATGGTGAAGACTTTTGAATAATTATGTTATATATTATTCGATATATGATAGATTTTTTTAGTTTGTTTAGCGAGATTTTGCGAAATGTGCTGTAAATTTTACTCTTTTCAATTGATTTTCCACACTTGATATTATCTTGTAATTTTAACATTTTATTCATATTTTGATTTGTTATTTGTACATTTTATCTCAAATCAGCTTTGTGCTGCCATACCTGATATATATTGATTGGTATTATTGGGACCCCCCTCTGGAAATAAATCATTTATTGGGATTTAGAGTGCCCAGATATCAACATTGATGATTTGTTTTCTCAATTTTGTTTTCTTTATATTTTGTTTCTCTGGTTTTGTGATGTTACTAAGTTGATATCAAATAAATGAAATTAAATACATTCTAATGAAACCCGGGAGTCGGCCCTTTTGCAGTTCTTTACTTTTTGCTGACAGTATATATCACATCCTGCTGGTGAATCGAAACCAAATTAAACACACTATTTAGCATATTATGTTTATTAATGGCACTCGTAAGTATATAAAAATAGAGTCTATATTAAGCATATATGTTAAGGGCTGTCATTTTATTAATAATAATAATAATTCCAAATTATATGATCAAAGGCACTGAGCGTTCTTACCCCAGGTGATCGGATATGTAAATTTGCAAATCAGCACACAAAGTGCAAATTTCCCTGCTTTCTGGGGAGTATACCTATTCATGCGCTACTTTATGGTTTTCTTTGTAATAATAGTCTATTGTGTATTTGTTTTACTTCTAGCTTTTGACTGATGTTTTGTAAAATTTCTAATGCTTCTGTTTTTCAATAAATTTCTTAATGTTTGGTATTGAAAAATATAATGTGTATCAATGTCAGCTTCTCCCAGCCCAAAGTAGTGGAATAAGACTCCCTAAGACACACAAACAGTACAACAAGCGATTGAATCTGTTACACAGTTTTAATCAAAAATCTACATTTGAAATTAAATTTCAAGTTGTTAAAAGTCTAAGAACTAAAATATATTTATTTACTTTATAATTTCAATGCTTCACAAGCATTCATCCATCTAAGACCCCCTAGGCACAGAAAATATATAATCTTGAATGCAATCTTTTATCGCTTAATGTCTTTGAAAAAATTAACTTTGGCTATTTCTTCAGGAAGATAGCTCTGTTCACCAGGTCCAGCACGATAGTTGTAGCCCTTCCCATATCCCAAATCCTTCATCAACTTTGTTGAAGCGTTACGAAGGTGGATTGGAACACCAGGCAAGCCACCTTCGTAATTTTGTATGTGATCTTTGACCCTGTTATATGCTGCATATGATTCAGTTGACTTTGGCGCCCTCGCGAGGTACACCACACAATGGGACAGGTTGACCTGTAAAATAAATACAAATGCTTATCTATTTACAAAAAGTTTATTTTATTATGGTATATAATACCAATTTCATACATCATTATCATAATTACATTATATTTTAATTTTATCATTATGTTTTTATGTCAATTTAATAATAATATTGGTATCACATTTCTCTCTATTGTGTGTTAGTGCCTGCTGACGGGAGGGTGCCATGGTCACCCACCCAGGAGCAAGAAAACTCTACAGCTGAACTAAGGCCAGATGAGCCCCTTGGATTCAAGGTCCAACCATAATTTATTTTAAGGAATAGGCATAGCTTATACAAAATACAATTTTTTTTTATTATTAATCTTTTTAATTTTGAATTAATTGACATTTTTGAAATTTAATTATAATTATATATATATATATATTTGTAATATGATATTAATTTTTAACTTTTCTACTGGAATTATTTGAATGTTTTGATATTTCGATATGCATTTTTCCACCTCACTTGTTTTTCTATGTTGTCTTTATTTGTTGATTGTAAATAAACGTTTTCAGCCTTTGGCGGTTGTTTTGTTTTGTGTGTTATACCTTAATAAATAAAAAAATAAAAAAAATAATCTTCCTGTTACATAATTTTGTATAAAGCAGAGAGATGCATTGCGCAAAAAGAACTACGTAAATGACATCACTGCTGTTTGTTGGTTGTTGCTGGTGGCTGTTGTTATTAATAATCAACTTTGGCTATTTTCTCAGGAAGGTAGCTCTGCTCAACAGGTGCAGCACAATAGTTGTAGCCCTTTGCATATCCCAAATCCTTCATCAGCTTCGTTGAAACTTTACGAAGGTGGATTGTAATTCCAGGCAAGCCACCGAGAGAAGCGGTTTGGCGCAGCGGGAACAGTTTGTTTATCCAACATCAGGTCAGGGTTTCAATCCCTCGCTGTGCATTTCGCTTGTGTTCTTAAGCAAGGCACTTTTATCTTCATTGCTTCTCTCCACCCAGGAGTATAGATGGGTACCTGATACTGTGCCAATATGGCAGCAACACTTAAGCATGTGGACCCATATGACCAGGGAAAACTTACAACGCTTCGAAAATGAAAGGAAAAGCAATAAACAGTACAAGCAACAAGTAACAATTATTACCTGGCATTCGGGCATACCATTATAATGGCAAGCAGTGTACGTCGCGACAGCCAATGGGAGTGCTTGAGCATCTGCCAAACCTGTCAAAAATATAGTTATACTTAAGCTTGTCCACACTATCAAATTTTCTTTGACAAAAAAAAAAACTCCTAAATGCCCATATATAGTCATGATGTGCCTATATATGGTCATGATGTGATGTCATCATGACCATATTTAGGCATGTCACATGTTTTTGTCAAATACAAATTGATATTCTGGACAGGGCTTATTATATCTTATTATATTAAGGAGCTTTCGATTGCACGACGACGGTAGGACGTAGAACGTATGACGTACGTCACTATAAGTCATCTGAGCATGCGAGAACGTTAAGGTCACCTCGTCGAGCTGATTCTGGAACGCAATTTGGCCAAATCTACGTATGCAGTGAACGTAGGATTCCAGGTAGGATGGTCATGCATGAGTGATTCCGTTCTAGCATCGCGTCGTCGCACATTCGATAGCTCCCTATTATATACTGTATCTACATGTTTTTGACCTTTTTGTCAAGTAAGACAATTCAAAACCCCTGATTTTATGAGTGTACTGATAATGCTTACTGACAGTCGGCAACAAGGAAGTAAACATTACTCGGTTTATCAACAAATAAAAATGTTTTACAATTACAATATATTTTTTAGTTTGCTTACCAACATCTTCGCTAGCAAATGCTACCAGTCTTCTAGCAACAAATAACGGGTCTTCCCCACCGAGCATCATTCTGCCAAGCCAGTAGAGGGCAGCATTTGCATCTGATCCCCTCATTGATTTGATGAGGGCAGAAATACAATTAAAATGCTCATCACCTGAAAGACAAAAAATAAATAAAGAACTGGTTAGATGAACATTTGTATACAGTGAAAAGGGTCTATAGGGGTGCACTCCCCAACAACAGAAGCAGGCACTGGTAACTTTGCTGTAAAGCCAGACTCTGGAGGGAAAAAATTGATATGTGGTACAGATAATAAAAAAACTTGGGAATGGGAGACAGATTGAGAGGCAGATAGATAGAATGAGAGACAGATTTTTGAATAATTAAAAACTGGAGGGAAAAGGGGCATAACCACCCTTTTTTCCACCTTTCCCCCAGTTTTTAAATATTTAAAAATCTCTATCTCATTAACTGTTTTTGTGCCTTGAAGGAATCAGTTGTACCTCATATAAAAAAATGGAGCCTACATAAATGTTGTTACTACACATGCAAAAAATTTAGGTGACATACAGTACCTGTACGATCGTATATTACATGAGACCTCTGCAGTACATCTTTGACCTTTGTCATATCTATCACTGATACAGATGATTGGTCATCGTTACTGTCCTTGACGGTCTCTGATTTAATGTTTGATTCATGAGCTTGAACAATAAGCTCTAGCGTATTGAGTGCGGTGCGAGCATCACCATCGCAATAAAGACCAATTGCTGTTAATGCTTGTTGAGTTATAAACCCTTGGTTTGACCTTAAAATAAAAGCAATAATTTGAAGTCATTTTAGTAATGGTTAACAAGTCCAAATCAGCTAAAAATGAGCGGTAGGCTTGTGTAGATGACAAACACACAACTAAACAAAGAAAAAAAAACATTTTGAGGTCGCTGGAAAGAATATTATTATTAAAGTCACCAAAACAGAGCCAAATTATTCTAGACATAGTCAAAGAACCATTAAAATATAGATTAACTTAAAAGCAGTTTATTTCTAAGCCTTAAAATACTTGCACCTAGGATTTGAAACATCATGAACCGCAGCCCGTCAACAGTGCAAGCTGGGGTAATCAAACATGACTGGTTGAGAATGGTCAGTGCATGCATCAAACTTTAAACCATGAGGTTAAGATTTTGAATGGAAATTGTTGTCCTAAACTGCAGTTCTTTAATCAACTAATCTGAGAGCTAAATTTGCAATAAAAATTTCAATAGGTACAGAATTATATAAAATGTTTATAACACTAGCCACTTTGGCAAATTTATGTGTGGTTCCAACAATGAGATTTCAAATGGTATAGTTAGTCCGGCAGCTTAGCAGATGGATGTGGACGTTCCGGACAAAAGCACCAATTTTTTTTTACATGCTTCTTATGGTCATAGCATTCAATTTTTGGTAGGAACCACCTCATCCGAGGTCATTATGGCGGC